TTTTCATCTCTCTTCTTCTTTGTGGTTGCGGTTTTATTCTTAGCATCGGGCTACAAATCTCTCTAAAACTGCGAAAATAGAGCTTTTTTTGTTTATCATCGATGATTTCAAATAAAGGTTTGAGTCTTTGGATTTCAAGCCCTCTTCTGTCTCCCTGTGATTTTGATTTCTAGAAAACTCCTGTAAAGAAATCCCTTTATATCTCAGTTTGCCAGTTTACATTTTGTGGAGATAAGCTTTTACAGCACAAAGTTCTGCAATTCCTTCATTCTTTATTTTCAATCACAATTATATTCTGCAGGCCTGCAAGTCATGTTTTGAGCAGTTGATATTTATTCTTTTCATAGTTTTGGATCTTGCAATTGTTAAATTTTTTATTATATAATTTGCAATGAATAAACGGCAATTATTTTGACTTCCGATGTCTTTGACTCCTGCAATTGTTGTTTTGTTTGTTATATAATTTGCAATGATGGATGCCATTTTGGCTTCCAGTGGTTGCATTAGTTTATTAGTTTTATATATAAATAGCCTACCACATTTTTATCACGGGACAATACTTTTTAATTTTTGAAAAAGTCATATATTCAAAAAAAAATGAAATGCCTTGCTGATTTCCTTTTTTCTTTCAGGTTTTTTCTTGAAAATGTCTACATATTGATTTGAAACAAAATATACTATAAGCTCAAAATCAAACTTCTTCAAAAAAAGTATTTTATTTTATTATTTAAATTTCTCTCTATTATTTATGTGTTCTTTTTTTCCTACCTTTTATGTTAATAAATATTATGTCCTTTGTTTATATAAGTTATGGAAAAATTTCTCAAGAGAAAAATTGACATCACAAGACCCATCTAGGCATAATATTGATCTCGCACAAAGCTCTTCAAAGGATCAACAAATGATTGATAAATTAGAAATTAATTTAAAAAATTTGTCAGCTGATCTGAGAAAACGAAAAAAATTTCATCCTATCATCTCCATGATCAGGATAAGATACAAATTGATCAGGATAATATTGAGAAAGATGTTTTCAACAATGTTGATAATGAATTGATTATTCAGTGATTTTAAAATATGAAATTGCGTCGAGAACAATTGTAATGTATGTTATTTATTTTTTTATTATAATTAGAGTTAAAATTTTTATGTTGTTATTTCTTATAATTTTTTTTTATTTAGATTAATGCCCCCCCTATCTTAGGGTCTTGGCTCCGCCACTGGTGCTAAAGCATACTAAATTACCTTTCTTATCTAAATTACTAGTCAAATCAAGTCCAGCATGTTTCCTGGTGTCCTAAACTATCAGTTTTCGCTTTGCTTATCCTTTTGGATAAAATAATAAAAATTACCTACATTAGATGGACATGGATCTGGATGAAGTGTGATATTTAAGTAAGAGTACCACCATAGCTACCAGTTGACAATTTTGGCTACAGCCTCCACCATATCACCACCATCTGCCATACCTCCAACAGCCACCACTGCCACCACCACCAATCTATCCTTACGTGCCATCATACCTCTCACTTTATACATCCAGCAACTGCCATCTCCAACTTCTTGCAACTGCTACCATATACCTCAACATCACAGTCACTCCCTCTAAATATATCCACCACAATTCACCGACTATTGTGCTACTGCTGTTATATTTTTAGTTTGATTTTGTAGATTGTCAACAATAATTTTTATATTCTTTTTTATTGTACTGTTCTGGTTGATGTTTTTTGAAAAGTTAAGTGAATTACCTCCCTATAAATAGAATCAGAAATTAACAACATTATCAAACCTATCAGAACTGTTTGCTACATAATTAAGGTAAAGCAAGCACAGTAATATGAATGAGTTATATCTAGAAGAAGAGAGCTATAAATACATAAAAGTAATAACATATAAAAAACACTCATTGTTTGCTTTTGGTACTGTAAACAAAGAGAAAAGGAGAAATAGTGCATGTACATTTGTTTAAATTCATCAACCTTATGTGTTAGTTTTGAATTTTCTTGGTAAAATAATCAAAATTTGGAGAGAAAAATGTAAATGAAGCAGAGAATTTAGAGTTTCCAAGATAAAAATCTAAATTTGTGAAGAGAAGAAAGAGGAGAAAGAATATTTATTATTCAAAGGAACTGATCAAGTCTTGCACGTAAGTATGTCAACTGAGATCCACTTTAATTTTTATGGGCTAAATATAGAAATCTTCACTTAGATTGTAAGAGGGTGATTGTTGCCCAAATAATTGGACAGCAATTGAATTGCAAGGTGAGTTTTAACCATATTCAATGTGATTTTCCTAGTTTCTAATCCTCTATAAAATTTAACAGTGCTGAAATATAACATTGCCTTTGGCAACGAGCTGAGTTATAGAGGAAGGACCCTGCAAATCAAATGAGGAATGTTAGGTCTGGAGTAAAAAGGGAAACCAGATAAATGGATGGAAATATCTTGTTTTAATAAACAAAAAAAATATTAGGAGAAAGTCTTTGGATTGCCTAGAACTGAAATGAAGTTGTCCAGGCTATTTAATCCTTATCTTGGACTGGCTCGTGGACAATTGAAAAACAAAAGTAGAGAAACTATTTGCTAAAAGTTGCTGAGATTCTATTGTAATTACTTTCATATCCTTAATATTTGGAAACCCCTATCTGGAGTAAAATTCTGTAATTGTAACCCTGTAAGTTTCATCTGAAATAGCAGTCATGCCTCTCTTTTACAAGTCTTTTCAACATTAAAATTGGGCGTGCTACAATTTTTCAACTTTAATTGGCATCATGCAGGGTCGCATTATGCTACCACTGAACCTGACCACAGATGATGGACCAATATATGTAAATGCTAAGCAGTATCATGGAATAATTAGGCGTCGTCTGGCACGTGCAAAGGCAGGAGCAGAGAACAAAGTGTTAAGAGCTCGCAAGGTACAATTTGTGTTGGAGATTATCAAAATAACACTGGTTATGCATTTTTTTATTAAAAATAAATTTTACCAAATTTTACATGGTTACAATAGAATAGCAACGACTAATCTAACACTCAGAGCATAACTTCAAAAATTACTATTCTTATTTTAGTTAAGCATTAATTTGGCATGGTTTCAAGTAACTTAGTAACAAAAATAAATTGTTACTAGATTTACAGTATTTAATAAGAATATTAATTAGAGGTTGTAATTTAGAGTGATATTTAATGATGGAAGGGATTACAGTCATTATCATAAGATGTGGTTGCATTTGTCTCAAATTGTTTTCCCTACCCACAAAATTTACTATGATTAAACAGATATATGATTGTTAATTTATATGTGCAGTCCTAAATATATATATATATATATATATTCTCTACACGATACTGGTGATGTATGCTTGCAAAGAAATAAACAGTTTTGAGATCTAGAAGGAAAAAGTTTTAAATAAGAGTATTTTAACTATAATATTCTTCTACCTTGCACACTTTTATGTTTTTTTTTTCCATTTTCAAAAACTTGATGGGATAAGGATAACTTGTAAACAAAAGAGATTGATAATACAATTACATATAATGAATCTTTTATTTGAAAGTAATGTTTTAACTATTTTAGTTATATATTATATATATGATATCTTTCTTCATTTTCCTAATTTATTGCATTCTTTTTTTTTTTTACTTTTAAACATCTATCTAAAATATATTCATTTGAATTTGTCTTTTCCAATAGGATATGTAAATAAATGAATTCAATAATATTTATGTGTTAAAAATTATTATTTTCCTTGTGAACTAATGCTGGTCTAGTGTGTTATTTTATTGTATGCAATGAAATTCGAGTTAGTGCATAAATAATTTCAAGTTCAACTTGTAGTAATAAATTTATCTAATAAATTCCTCATTTGGAAAGCTACTTGTAGATTAATAATTTTGAAGTTTCTAATAATTTTAATTAATTACCTAAACTATCAAATCAGATTCCATTCCTAATCATGCTTTTTATGATCAAGTTGTATTCTAAGACATGATCAAAATGACTTGATTTCAGAAAAATAAAGGTAAATATATAACCCATCAGTCAATATTTTAAGCTAAATTTGTTTAAAAATTATATTTAATGAAAAATTATATGTAGATTACATAATTTTAATATCAATGCTGAAATTATTATTATATATTATAGTGATATCATAATTCTATATATATTTAAAATTATAGATATGGATATAGATGTAGAATGACACATTGTAGATGGTATTGTTATTGTTGTATAGGTTTAGATGGATGTGGACAACTAATAGATTGAACTATAGTTGAATTTTATGCAAGTATTTAGAAGATATTACGATACTTTACAATAAAATGACTCTTATGAATGGTTTCTTTTAATTAAAATAGGCTTTAAAAGGTTTATATAATTAAAATATGTAGCACCCATCAATCAATATATTTTAAGATAAATTGGTTCAAAAATAATATTTGATGAAAAATTCACACATTAATTATAGAATTTTGATATCAATTTTAAAGTTACTGTCACATATTATAATGATACGATACTTTTGCATATATTATAAATTATAGATATGGACATACTTGTGGAATTATAGATCACAAATGATACAATTATTATTATTGTGAAGGTAAATGGACAATTAAGGGGATCTGTAGTTGGACTATTACACAAGTATATGATAATATTGGTAGGCTATATTAAAAGGAGTATCATAAAAGGATTCTTCTTATTAAATAGGAGTCAGAAAGGTTATTCTAATTAAACTAGAACTCTCTTGGCTTTAGATTTGGAAGAGGCTATTTTGTTAATTCAAAGTATAATAAGTTGGGGTAATTTTGTCCCAAAAAGAAGTGCTAAGCACACAGATTATAGATTATTTATTGCAGATAAATATAGATACATATATAGATGAATATCAACCACAATCTTGCTCTTACCATGAGTGAATGACCTAGATACCCAAACATATGCCATGGTCTTTTTTTTTTTTTTTTGGTCCATTAGTAGCCATCTCTTCATGTCAGTATCTCAATTTTTACAATCTCTCAGCTGAAAGTTTGATGCATATAAATTACTATTAATGAATTTTTTTTCTTCTTTCATTCCCCTATTCCTCAACTATTCATATGCGCCTGATATCTTACTACTGCAAATAATGTGAGCTTGTTTGTTAACAGCCATACTTGCACCTGTCTCGCCATCTCCATGCTATGCGCCGACCAAGGGGCTGTGGTGGTCGCTTCCTTAACTCAAAGCCGCCAAACAGTGGCAAAAACAGAACTGATACAGACAAGACTGGAAACTGTCAAACTTTCCAGCCCGCTGAATCTCAGAACTCTGAAGTTCTGCAATCTGAGAGTGTAAACTTGAACTCACCCAGTGGCAGCATGGCAAATCTTTTGGGTTCAGAGGTGACCAGTAGTATATTTTCTACAGGGAATTTCAATCAACATGCAATCAATCATCTTCGTCCATCTGCTAACTCTGTCTCTAATATGTTGAAGTGGGTTGCGGCTGATCCTGGCCACAGCAACCTGAAAACTTGCCGGCAAGGGAAGGGTGGGATTGGTGTGGAGTTGTTGGCACCTCCCCGTTCTTGAAGCTGCCAAATTGGGAATCTCAGTTTGGTAGGCAAGTCATTCCTGGCTAATTTGCATTAAGGTTGTCTTTTTCCATTCAGTTGCAGTCATGCAGTTCTGGTTTGGTTGGAGACGTTGGAGCCTTAATGCGCATGAAAATGGACAAGTCTTATAAATTGGGTATGTTCCCATAGTTTGAATAAATCTACGTGAACAAGGTTCAGGTTTGTCTTCTTGAGATCCAGCTTGATGTTACTGGAGTTAGTGTGTCTAACCAAGATTTCAAGCTTGGTGGTGTGGCTTATCATGTGCACTTTTCAGAAAAATTATCATGTGACTCTGTTTTGTGTGAACCATCAGAATAAAGCAGTAACGTTGTTAAGGATTGCAGATTGAGTAAGATGATAGAAACTTAGTGGACCTGTTCCCCCGACAGCCAAGATTTTCTCCTCTATTTAATGGCTGAATTTGTTGTCAACTTATGCCTAATAGTATCTAGATAAGGTAGTGGACAGACACCAGAATCTGTTTACGGTGGAGCAATTTCTGCCATTTAATCAGTCCGTTTTCTCTGGTATTAATTTTTTTCTTCTTTTTCTGGTATACTGAAGGCCGAAACTTGAAGAGAGGAAAGTGCCAAGAGTTAAATTGCTAGCCTAGTAAATGCCTTATCACTTAAGCCTTGGTTCTGTATAATATCTTGTAAGTAGAAGATAAATGACGTCAATTATGCCAAGCTGGAGGATCCAAAATTTGGATAGAGCAATGTTGAATTCATACCGTTAATTTTTCACCTCTTTTTCAGCTTCATGTGTGAGGACTAAATAATCCAAATAGAGCAGTTGTATAGGTTACCCGTTTTCCAATTGAACCCATTTTGATCAATGGAGAAGAAAACTAAAGCAACAACATGAAAATGCGTGGTTGCCAAACTAAGGGAAAAAAGAAGGCAGTCAATTTCTTTGAGATTGCTAGACAAATATCAACCAGCAGAGCATTCGCACAAAGCTATTCATCGATTTCAGGAACAAAAAGTCAGCAGCAGAAGAGGAGATATCTCTAGCATGAGACCTCAAAAGCCGAAAGCTGGGAATAACTCTTCTTTAGATTTTCGGCTTTTTCTGGGCTCATCAAATGCTGAGAAAGTTCTGGGTTAGGGTGATAAACTTGCTGAGACCGGAGGAGCCTGATGATCCACTGTCAGTCATGAGACGACAAGTTGGAGCCTCCGCATCAATCTCTGGGACACAACCTTATTTTCCTGTGACGTGGAGTGGGATAATCAGAAGCAGAAGCACCACTTTGTTGCCTGCTCCTGCCAGCGGGTTTCGGAGAGTTGTAAACGGGAGTGCAGGTGGATGATCACAGGGAAAGAAAGATGGCCTTTTGTTTGCTTACAACCCATAACATGGATGCTGGAGGTTCAATCCTTTTCAAGATTCATAAGAACCTAGCCATGCTCGGATGAATACAAGGGAGACTGTTGTTCCAGCATATTGGGTACTTAATTGCTTCTTTTGCCATGCAGGAAATATATATAGTGTAAAATACACATCTAAAGTATTATAATAATAACATTTACTCTCTTAAAATATACAATATAACAATTTACCCCTTCAATTTTGTAGTCATAATTAAAAATAATTAACAGAGTTAATATAATTATTTATATTTTCATAATACTCATAACTCGCACTATACATACTATTTATAATTTAACAAATATTATTTGTAAAATAATAATCTTTATTATAACTAAACAAATATATAATTAATTAAAAAAATCTATCCCTCAACCAATTTGCATACATGTTATTCAGATAAAATAGTTATTATAAAATAAAAAAGTGACCCATATTTAAATTAATAATAAACTGTCCTAAATAGTATTAAGTAGAATAAAATATAAAAAGTTATTTATTATTTATTGCTTATGACAACTTATTTCTTGAAACTTTTGCATTTTGTACTGATACCCAAAATGTTATTGTGTAATTTAATATTCTAAATTGAAAGACCTCTGCAATCCAAGGGGTATAAGTGAGTGTATTAACTTTATTATTTATTTTTAACTATGATACAAATTTGAAGGAGTAAGCTGTTATACTTTATAACTAGAGATAAGTGTTATTACCATAATACTTTAGGAAATAAACTATATTTTACTTTATATGCACAATAAAATCAATACCTTTTTTTTTCTATAATAATCCAATGGTCCAAGCCTTGCTTCTAAATTTATTTTCTAAGGATAAATATGGCCAGAAAACTAACACGGAATTAATAATCAAAGCAGTCTGTTTTTGCTACAATTGTAAAAATCAATTTTCATGGGGTTTTAAATAGAAGGGTTCACCTCTGCCAAAATTTTCACATAGGGCCTTTTAGAAATCCTTTCTTGCATTCTAGTTCCTCGTTTTTCAGATTTTGAATGTAGTTCTTACATTTCTAAAAATTGCAAAATAATCCCCAAACTTTGTTCAAATTGCAAAATTGCCTTAAATCGAGTTATTTTTTATTTTTTATTTTTTTTTCGCTTTCTAGTTTTATGCTTAATCTTGTCACACATTTTCCAATTAACTCCTTTCATGTCCTTTATTTTCAGTTCGCTCATTCTCTAATTTTTATTTCAAAATTGACCCTAAACTTTTTCAAAATTACATAATCATTTCTGACATGTTTTCTTGTTTTCAATCATGCCCCTTATTTCCTTCTAACTTTCGATTTCTATACTACACGTTTAAATCTGTTTTAATTCAAGTTGTATTACCTCAATTGAACATAAATAAGTAACCTCAAAATTCAAATCAATATTCTCTCATGTCAAATTTCCAATCCTTTTTATGTCACTCCAGATCTTATATGTTAATCAAATATCAAATCATTTTTCAAGTCAACTCAATTCGTTTTTAAGAATCTTTTCAATTTTGAAATTCATTTTTTATTTTAAAAATATTTTTAAAATTTGAAAATAGTAGTTTTTTATATTATTTTAAAACAATGAAGTATATAGGCCGGACTTTCAATTTAATTATTTGAGATATGTAGCTAGTCAACCCGTTATTTGTTATTTTAAAATAATTATCAATTATAATCAATAGTTATAAACCAAACCTTGAAAGTCTGAATCAATCCTTTCTGTATGTTCGTTTTTTTCTAACTTTTTTCGTCTTAAGGTGTTATTGGCTTTTACGCAATCACACATGCACAAAAGTAAATTCGTATTTTTTTAAAAAAAATATTATAAAACATAAGGTAAAAAAGAATTCAAATTTCTTCAGGTTTATTTAAATGATATTTAACCCGATTCTTATCTTTAAAAAAATTCTCCTTCTTTGACTCAATTTAACTACCCACTTCCATCCACTTGTGTAAGATAATATTATTTAAAAAAATCAAAATAAATTATATATATTAGATAAAATATCTTACATAAAGATATTTTATAAAAATAAAATAAATTTCTTATTATATAAAATTAAATTATTTGTTATAATTAATAACTATTCACAAGTTGACTTATTTATTAAAAAGTTAAGTTTTTTAAATTTCTAAAATTTTTATTTTTATATTCCTTGATTTAATATCGAAAAAATTTAAAATTTTTTAAAAAATTTAGAATTCAACTTATTAAGTATCTAATTGTACCATTTTATTAAAAAGGTTTTTAGAATTTTCAAAAATTAAAAAATAGTAAAATTAGATTGTTAAAAGTTATATTTTTTTGACTTTTTCTTAAATTTTTTATTCAAGATAGGTAACTAAAGTTGAATTACTCTCACATCTTGTAATAGAATTTTTGATTTTTTTATTTTAAATAAATTTTTTTTAGAGATACAAAATTAAAGGATCTAATTTTTTTAATAAAATGATAAAATCAAATTCTTAACAAGTTAATTTTTTTATTTTTTAATTTTTTTATTAAATCTAGTAACATAAAAATTGAAAAATTAGAAATTTTAAAAAAGAAAACTTTCTTAATGAATGAAGTAACTTGTTAATAATTTTTACTATAATACTAATAATTTAATTTTATATAATAAAAAATATATTTATTTTTATAAAATATGTTTATATAATATATATAACAAAAAAATAATTTTTTATTTTTTAGATTTATATCATTTAACGGCAAGTGGATGGAAATTATTAATCAATTTGAGTCAAGAGAGATAAGTATTTTTTTGAGAGTAAAAATGGAGTTTAGTGTTATTTCAACAAATTTGAAATGAACAGAGTATTTTTTACACCAAAAAAATAAAATATGAGAAAAGTTGTGCCAACTAAGGTTGCTATTAAAAGATTGAATCAGGGTGTTTAGCACACTTAGAGTAATTAAAACTCCAAATCTATTATCTCTATTTTCACAAACCTTTTTGAAGCTATATTTTAAAAGGCATTTTCAAGTTCTTTTTCAAAAACTTGTTTTCAGAATATTTTATAAATTTAGTTTTTCATAGGTCCTTTTTAATTTTTTTAGACCTAACTTACATTAATAAATGTTAGTCATTCCTTTTGAGACCGATATGTCAGACTTAGGGAAAATTATCAAGTTAGTTAATCTGATAAAATTTATTACACAAATGGTCAATATAAAAATATTGATGTAAAAAGTAATTTAATTTCTTAAAATACTTTTTTATATTTTTTTACATCATAAATTTATAAAAATATAAGTATATTTCTGCAAAATTACAAAAATACTTCTATAAAATTACAAGCATATTTAATAAAATTATATCTATAAATTATAAGTGTCTATTTATAAAATTATAAGTATTAAATTATAAAATTACAAGTATATTATTAAAAAATATAAAAAAAGGTTACAGAGTTCGGGAGGACGGACGAAGTTGCAGCATCAAGGAGGGGGGGATGTTGCAGTTGCCAAGGGCTAAGAGTGTTATAGTTCCAAATATACATAACATACACTTTTTTTTGTTGGGGCGGGGGGGGGGGGGGAGTGTTGCAATTGCTAGTGGAGGGAGGTGGTCGTTGCATGGAGATTGTTAGGAGTAGGG